GAAAGACACAGAGACAGAGAGACAGAGACAAGAGAGACAGAGATAGAAACAGAAAGAGAGAGATGGAGACAGACAGAGAAAGACAGAGACAGAGACAGGAGAGACAGAGACAGAGAGAGGGATGGAGAGAGACAGGCAGGCAGAGACACAGAGACAGAGTTAGATGAATGGGCCACTCCTAAGGGCACCATCCCCATTTCACGGGGAGCCAAGGCATTTGGATAGTCAGACTATTTCGGCAAAGATGAATTAAAAAACAGAGAGTTCGTTCTTTACGAAGAAGCTAAAACGTTGTGGTCCACAGAGCACTGGACTTGAAATCAGGTATATCTGGGTTCGAATATTGGCTCAGACACTTTGATGCTTTGCTCCCGTGGACAAGTTGCTTAAGCGCTTTCAGCCTCAGTTTCTCATCAGTAAAATGGGCATAATAACATCACCTGCCTCCCAAGGTTGTTGTGAAGGTCAGATAAGATGATAATAATAATAATAACTAGCAATTATATAGCACTCTTAATTTTGCAAAGCGTTTTACATAATTTATTTCACTTGATCCTCACAACCCGTCTGGGAGGTAGGCGCTATTATTCTGCCCATTTTACAGATGAGAAAATTGAGGCTGAGAGGTTAAAGGACTTGCTCAGATCATACATCTAGTAAGCATCTAAGGCAGGATTTGAACTCTGGTCTCCCTGACTCAGCCCCGTACTGCCCAGCTGCCTACACAATATAAAGGCTCTGCCAGCCTTGAGGCACCATTCGAACGCTACACTGGCCCAGGGGCTAGCTGAGACTTGCATGACCTCTTGACTGGACAACTGGGCTAGCCTAATCTTCCCCCAGTCTCACCCACTCCTCCTGCAGAAAGCATTCAGAGAAACATTCGGTTCCCTCACATGTGCCTAACACCCTGGCTTTCCCACTTACCAGCTGGGGCAAGTCCCTTCATCTCCCTGGGCCTCAGTTTCCTCACCTGTAAAGTGAGGACTTTGGGCTAGATGGTCCCAAGGTCCCTTCCAACTCTAGATTGATGATCTTACGATCTCTCTCTGGGCCTCAGTTTCCCTGTCTGTAAAATCAAGGGGTTGGACGAGACTGCACTGAGGTCCCTTCCAGCTCTGGACCTATCATCCTATGCTCCTCAGTCTGGCATTCAAAGCCCTTTACATCAACTGGCCCTGTCCCCCTGGATGTCCAGGCCTTCTCCACGAAAATCCTTGGTTTTAGCTAAGTTGTGGTCATTGGTCTGGACTACTAGGTGGCGCCATGGTGCATAGAGCACTAGACGTGGAACCGGGAAGACTAGTCTTCATGAGTTCAAATGGGTTCTCTCAGACACTGACGAGCTGTGTGACTCTGGGTAAGTCACTTAACCCTGTTTGCCTCAGTTTCTTCATCTGTAAAATGAGCTGGAGAAGGAAATGGCAAATCACTCCAGTCAGTATCTCTGCCAAGAAAACTCCAAATGGGGTGACAGACAGTCAGACGTGACTACAAATCACTGAACAACAACGTCATTGTTCTGGGAATACTCCAGGCTCAATTCCTCCATCTTCACCTTTGCCCAAGTTGTTTCCTCCACCTGGGAAATCCAGTGAGATAGTGTGCCCGTATAAAGAGCTTTGTCAAGCTTGAAGTATGGTAACAATAAGAACACATAGCATTTCCATGGCTAATAAGTATCCAAGGCTAGATTTGAACTCAGGTTTTCTGACTCCAAACCTAGCACTTTAACCACTGTACCAGCCAGTTTTCTAGAAGAAGGAAGAGCCCTGGACCTAGAATCAGAGAACCTGGCTTCAAATCCTACCTCTGACACTATTGCTGTGATCTTGGTTAAGTCAGGTGAGCTCTGTGTCTCAGTTTCTCAGGCAGTAAAATAAGGGGGTAAATGACCTCTGAGCGGTCTTCTCCAGTCTAGATCTATGTGCCAATGAGGCAGAGCTACAGCTAGGTTGAGATTGTACCAAGAAAGGGAGCGTTAGAAGAAGATGTTGGCAAAGTGGAGAGAGAGCCAGCTTTGGACTCAGGGACACCCGACTTCAGGTCCCACCTGTGATAGCATTGGCTGTGTAGGATTCTGGGAAAGTTCTTTAACCTCTCAATGACCCAGATAACTCTAAGATTGTTGCTTGTGGAAAAGGTGTCAATAGATATTGGTGGAGGGAGTTTCCTCACTAGGACATCTAAGACATACCAATGAAACCATAGGCCCCATCAAAAATAATAATAAGCCTCATAATTATTACAGACTTCAGGGGTGAGGGTTGTTGGCCAGTCATTCAGCTGTGTCTGACTCTTCACGACCCCACGGACCACAGCACACCAAGCCCTTCTGTCCTCTACTGTCTCTTGGAGTCTGTCCATGCTAATGTTTGCGGTTTCCATGACACTATCTATCTATCTATCTCATTCTCTGCCATCCCCTTTTCCTTTTGCCTTCAATCTTCCCCAACATCAGTCTTTTCCAATGAGTCCCAACTTCTCATTATATGGCCAAAGTATTTAAGCTTCAACTTCATATTTGACTTTCCAGTGAATCGCCTGAATTAATTTCTTTAAGTATTGACTGATTTGATCTCCTTGCTATGCCAAGGACTCTCAAAAGTCTTCTCCAGCACCACAATTCTAGAGCATCGATTCTGCGGTGCTCAGCTTTCCTTCCAATCCAACTCTCACAGTCATATATTGCAACTAGAAAAACCATAGCTTTGACTATAAGGACCTTTGTCAGCAAGGTGATGCCTCAGCCTTTTAGTATGCTGTTCAGATTTACCATAGCTTTCCTTCCAAGGAGCAAGCATCTTTCAATTTCATGGCTGCAGTCACTGTCTGCAGTGATCTTTGAGCCCAGGAATATAAAATCTGACACTGCTTCTATTTCTTCCCCTCTATTTGTCAGGAATCAAGTTGCTAAGATCTTAGTTTATTGATGTTAAACTTCAAGCTAGCCTTTACACTCTCCTCTTTCACCCTCATCAAGAGGCTTCTTAATTGCCTCTCACTTTCTGCCATCAATGTGGTATTGTCTGCGCATCTGAGACTGTTGGTATTTCTCCTGGCAACGTCAGAGGAGTGTAGCTCTTGTATTCCTCCCTTCATCTCTTGGTGACCCCACTGAGTCTAGGGAAAGATGTTTTGGAGGTTATGATCAAGGAAAGCACCCAGACCAAGGTAGGGTTAGTTAGAGGTGGACTTGTACTTTCCCTCCTTTGCAAATAATCAATCAATAAACATTTATTGAGCACCTACTATGTGCCAGGCACTGTGCTAAGTGCTGAGGAATTAAAAAAAGGTAAAAGACAGTCCCTATCTTCAAGAAGCTTACAATCTAATAGCAGAGGTGGAGGGCTATGCGTGTGGAACATTGCATACAATGTCAATTTTGCTGAACTGTTTTTTGGTTTCCTCTTTTTTATTCTTTGTTACAAAAAAAATGGCTCTTGAGAAGGGAAGGGGAAGAGATGCATTGGGAAAAGTAAATAACAAGAACAAAGAGATTATAGGATCACAGACCGAGATCTAGAGGGGACCTCAGAGGTCATCTCGTCCATCCCCCTCATTTGATACACAAAGAAACTGAGGCCCAAAAGGAAAACGGCATCCAACTCCATATATATGGGAAATGGCGAAGCTTCAGTTTGAGCTCAGGTTCTGTGATTTCAGCTTCGGCGCTCCCAACCCAAACACCCGACTACGTCATGCTGCCAATAATATTTTTAAAGGGGTGGTCTTTGTTTTACCTCCATTTACATCTCTCTGCCTCTGTTTCTCTCTAAGTCTCTCATCACACACATTCAGGACTAGCTCCTTTTCACCCCCACTCCCTCCCCCCATACTCTAGCACCTTTGGGGGCAGCCCAGAACTCACCATGTATAGACAAGCAGGGCCACAAGAGCAAGGAACAGGAGGCTGAGTAGTATGGACAGGATTACTATGATGACAATGGTACCTGCGCTCTTGGGGGCACGGGACTCAGAGACCTCCTCCGCTGAGGCATCAGGAGCAGATGTGGGCAGGACCAGCCGAGAGCAGTGAATGAAAGGGTTAGGGTTTGGCTAAAGCAGGACGGGGATGGGGGTGGAGGGGTCACCATCTCCCTACTCTTCACGTTTCTTGGGGTCCTTTCTATCCTTGTTACCCCAGCTCCCTTGGCTTCCCAAGTCACTGGAACACCCTTCCCGCTCCCTTTTCAGACTGCCACCCCCAGGGCTCCCCACCCATTCTACTCCCCAACTGGGAACATTAGCAGAGGTCACCGCCATCGAGGATGTCTTAGGGTGGGTGAGTTACGTTCTATCAGCGTGATGTCCTCGGACCACTTCGTCTCTGCCACTGGGCCGTTATCATTCATCACCAAGAACTTCACCCTGAACAGAGAAGACAGAGGATCTCTGGGCGGGGGGGGAACCTCCGAGAGTAGTCACCCTGTTGTCCAGCCTCAGCTTGTCAGAGCCAGCACCTCTTCAGAGCTGGCCCATCACTCTATGTAGGCGTGTGGCTCTGGGGCCAACCACTGATCTACGGGACAGGGGAGGGAGGAGACTGGTACCCTAGGATGAGGGCCGGTCGGCCAGAACAATAACCCAGCTGGCCATTCCTTTGTAGAGACATCAGGTTGGTTCATACTCATTTGTGTGTACCAGGTCATGTTCTCTGAAGGAAGCAGGGAGGAAAGAAGGAAGGAAGGAAGG